CAGACGAACTTTTCAAGTGGAAGTAAATGGAGCTGAAGTCAGTGAAGCGCTTCATACCGTGCCGGGTGAACTTTAGATGTTTATTTGATTAGGCCAATTATCTTTTCTAAATTGGCACATTATGTAAGATTATTTTTTGACAAGATGAAACAACAAGAGGTCAATCAAATGTCAGGGCATCAACAGTGATGTAAAGTGAAGATAATAGAAATCTACATCAATGTCAAAAATGTGAATTTGTTCTCGTGCTTTCATCACATCTTGTCAGTTCCCTGACAGCTGGGGAGTTGGACAAGTCTGACAAGAACTAATAACTTTTAAGACAAAGAAATAAGCTTTTTATACTTTTCAGCAAAGGCAGAAATAGAAGATGCACTCAATTTCTCAGGGTGATAGTCAGGGTGAATCAGTTACATGGTTGGAGACGTACTGTACACATCGGCAATTTCAACAAAGTACCACTGCGTGATGACTAAGAATATAAATTGCTTATAACATGAAGAGCACGGTATATATGCTGACCGTCATTTATCTTTATCAAAATCCGCAGAACAAAGTCCGACCCTTCACTCACAGCTAAATCACCCGTCTCTGCTAGAGAACACATATTTCTCATCGAGCTCCGATCGAAAGAATCCCAGTACGTTGCTTCACCCAAATTTCCCAAACAAGTAGGTGTCACGTTGGGCCATGGGCCTGGCAGGTGGTGTGTTCTCCCTCCTGCTGCATCTCCATCCCCGGTCTCAGGATGGAGCCTCGGTGCCAAGGAGCAGCCCGCCACAGATAATGGAGAAGGCTAATAATGGCCAGCGAGGATCGATACAAGCGCTTTGCTGATAGCTCGGGGGAGAGTCGTGTTGAGATGCTAACCTCTGCTCCATCTGACAAATATGTTCCCCTCACCACTGGAGCCTATTGAGCTGCCTGCTTGTGTGTTCTAGGCGACAGACACACATTTTAGCTAAAGTAAACCCCTCTGCCCCTTCACTCGGGGGTATTCATCAAGTTTGACACCAAAGGCTAGCTATGGGGAAACTTAAGGCTCATTGGTCTCTTTGCCAGCCTGCTTGCCACTGGCAACAAAGCGATTAATTAATTAAAAGTTTTAAAGTATGTTAGCAATTAACAGCCTGGGGAAAATGCCCATTTAGATGTCATGTAAGAGCCAAAAACATGCTTTATTTCCATATACACCAGGGCAAGTACTGCTGCCCGACTACAATGCAAGTAATTGGCTGATCACAGGTCCACTTCAACCAGATATGCTGACTCCACTGGTAAAAGTAAAAAATGTGTTTTTCAATTATATTTAGTCCGAAGTGATTAACAACACAGGTCAATGGAGGTGAGGAAAACAAGTTTCAGTGATAAAAACACAAAGACTTATCTTACAAATATTCATTATTAGATAACGTTGAGCCCAAGTTTCAGGGCGAAACCCAGGATTCAGTAAAGTTCGCTGCGTTACAAGTGGAAGGGGGGGGGGAGGTCAGGAAGAGTCATGCTCTTTACTTCCACTCTTTGGTTTGTTTATTCTGTCTGACCGCTTGATCTGGCAGCTTCTCAAGGAACGATAGGTCAAAAGACAGACAACACATTCTCAAACAGCCGAGGCTACTCACATTGAATTTGATGATGTCGTATATCAAATAGCGGGGCACCGGCTGACCGTTCACTTTGTCGATGATCATCTCCTGCACAGATAAAGAACAGAGATACACTTTGTTGTTATTGACAGAAAAATATATATACAGTTGAATGAAGAAGGGAGGACGTCTTCACGGTATAGTATGTGCAGTTTTTCTTTGAAACCAGGGTAGAAACAGTGAAGCACTTGAGGGTGAGCGCTCTCGAGGGGACGCATGTTCACAGGGGGAGACGCCTGCAGCAATGACAAGGGTAGTATGGATTTGGGGAATTGTGCGTGTGTGTGTGTGTGTGTGTGTGTCTGTGTGTACGCAGTGAGGTCTGGGGCAGAAGGACATGAAGCAGAAATAGCAATGCCCATCCATTATGCAACACTTTCCAGTTGAAAGTCAGGTGCAGCGGTGGTGCAGGACGCCCATCAGACACATAAGAAGTTTTCAAAGAGCTGTTACACAACCAGGCAATTCAGCGACAGCAGACTCAGACGTCACCACCGCTCAAGCACTATAGAACTATATATATGTTTTTAACTCTTGTAAAATATTCAGGTGACTAACTGTGCTCTGCGGCAGTAAAAGACAGGTAGAGGAGAAGCAGGTGCTGGGAAGGCTGGGAAGTATTTTAAGGATGCTGCATACTTTTCCTTACAAATGAACAAATAAGGAAGTGTTATGGCTGAATGACAGGAATGAACCTTATTATAATTGATGTATTAGCATTCATGTTGTTAAAAGAAATAACTTATTTTGGGTCAAATGAGTCATGTAATGTTGCAGCCCTCTTTTAAAGTTTTTTTCCCACTAGATAAAGCTGTTATTATTGAGTTTGGTTGTATATGAGCTCCAGGGACTCTGCTGTACTGGGCAGTCCAGATGAGTTTACTGAATAATGTGCCGTTTTAAAATTTTCATTTAACTCACAATGTGGCCCAAGATGGGCATTTTTTCTCCACAGGGCCAGTGGAAATAACAGTTAAGCCACTGCTGTTCTAACTGTGCCGCATGTTGTTAAGCTCCAGCCCTGTTGTGCTGATACAATAATTATGTATTTCTAACCAGGATATTTATCGACTTTATATTGTATTGCACCAAGCAAAGTCTGTTATCTCTTATTATCACAACAGCCAGATGAAAAGACAGCTCAGTTTTGTCTAAATTGTTCTGCAATCCCGTGTGATTTGAACATGAAAAGCTGCTTTTGTTTCCAGTAGTCAATAAGCTGTAGTAAACGTAATGACTGTCACCCATTGGTTTCAGAAGTCGTAGATGAAACCTGGGTGGAGATAAAGTGGGACAAAAGTGGAGCTAACATCCATCGTTTTTGTATATAAGAAAGTTGTCCAAACTTATCTTAAAGGGGACCTATCATACAAAATGCACTTTTTGATGTCTTTTGTCCCCGATGTGTCAGGGAACTCACGCAGCGTTAGAAAATAAAACTAAAGATGCACCGAATATTTGGCCACCGAAAATTATCGGCCAAAAATTGTTAAAAAGGCCCTTTCGGCTTTCGGCCGAATGTCAGAGAACAGGGTTACGTTGATCATAATCCGCATATTTGTCCGGGTGTTTTGATTTCAAGTGGTGGAGTAATCCCGAAGTGGTGAAAGTCTTTGCAGTTACACCCCCTCGATAAATGTCAGCTGAACACGTTTTACAAATCGCAATCCACGCCTCTCTCTCTGATATTTTGAAATATCTCCAAGCGGCAGACATGTTGGCTGCCAGCCGCGAGCATGGTCGCGTGCCGTGCTTGTCGCCGCGTTTTGATTAAGTCATCACAACAACACGTTAGGTTACCAAACTTATAGGTGCATTTGTTGTTGTTGAAGGCCTGGCTGTTACAGTCTTTATTTACACTATTTTGTTGTAGGCCTACTGGCCTAGATGTTTATGCAGTTTTAAAGCACCTTTGGCTTTGTTCTGAATGCACTTTGTTGTAGTTATCCTACAATTGACTTGGAATTAATGTACTGTATGCATTCAAAAGTGC